ATTTCCAGCCCTTTCTCCCCGCCATTTTTCAGGGAGCCGTTTACAAATGGCTCCATTCGCAAAAAATGGCATTGACTTGCGAACGGAGCCATTCGTAAATCGAAAAGTTCTTATGTAGGGGCATTCGGAAGTCGAGGGTTGACTGTAATGGTTTTTAAGAACTGGCTGCAAATAAGGTCCCAGGAAAGCCCAAAAAGTTGAATGTTAACACCAACTAGTCTTTGACAACTATGGCATTGTTCTTCACAAGCAATGCTTGTTTTTTTTGGTGCTTACTCTGATGTGTTTGATGAACTTTGGCTTTTGACTGTAGTTCCTAATTTAACTGTATGGACTTGAGTTGTTTCGCCCCACTTTAAATGCATGTGGTCCTTTCCTTCTAGGTTCTTCCTTTTGTTTACCGGGCCATTGGTTCAAAGCACCTTCCCACCGATAACATCAGCTTTGTCCATTTGGATTCCCACCCAGACCTTCTTATACCGGTGAACATGCCTGCTGATACTGTGTTTGATAAAGAAGCTCTGTTTAGGTAGGGTCACATGATGTTATTCTGCTACAGGTTTTGATGATATGGTGCCTAGTGGTTTCTTGAACCTTGGTCTACTTGCCTCTTCCAAGAGGCCACCCTCTCTGTGTCACAGGAATGTAATGTGACAAGCAGCCTCTCTACATAAATGCTACCGCCTTTACACCTTGATCCTATAACCACCTAACTGGCTTGTCAAATCTGTTGATATGAACAAATTAATCTTGTTTAAAAAATGTTAAACTTAGAGTAGGTCTTTATTTCTCTCAAACAGAATAGTTCTCTGTTTTATACCTAATTGTCCAGAATGGGGCAACTGAGTGTCCTCAGTTCTGAGCACAGATATCCTTATCTGCGGGATCAGGATCTGCTGATTCACTGATCCACAATCTGAAAATATTTACATTATTTTAAAAAAATCCAGGAAAAAATGTATTTTCACTTGCATTACCAGAACCTTGCCATAGAGGGAGTCAGGGAGTGTGCTATGAAGAATACAGCGGTCCCCCACAAGACTATGTTAATTCGTTCCATTGAAATCACTGTTGTACGAAAAGATCGTCTTGCGAAAAGCATTTCCCCATTGGAATGCATTGAAATCCTTTTGGGGAAGGAAATCCAGTGGGGAAGGATCGTCGTCATCCAGCTAAGATCGCCCATAGGAAAGCCACTTTGTGGACCGCCGATTGGCTGTTAAAATCGGCGTCTAGCGGAAAACCATTCCCGAAAAAATAGTCGTTTAGTGAAGCGTGGACTGAATCATCATCCAGCGAAAATCCCCCATAGGAAACACTGTTTTGCTATAGCGCTCGTAAAAAGTCATCATCTAGGGGAAAAACTGTACTGCGGGGTACCACTGTACATAGTATGGTCTCAGGCTGCTAAAGGCCTCTCTCTTCTTGCAAGCTTTCTCCTGGGAGTCAGCAGCTACTCCTCCTCCTGCTTGCTGGTTTACCTGGATAGAAAACAAAACAGTATGAGAGTTTGAAAGTGTAATCTAAACGGGAAGTGGGAGTGGGCAGTGTTTAGGGCCAGCTGGCTTTGGCAAGTAGCTCAGCGGCCCTCTTGGGGCAGGGACGTTGGCCTCTGTGCTCAGCCTCCCTTTGGGTGACTGTTGGGTTTGTGTGTATCGGAGGGAGGGCCAGGGTTCCTGCCGGCTCCTTTGTCCCAAAGGCTTGCCTTCACCTTCCAGATAGTTAGGGAGCGTTTTTTTCAGTATCCGCGGGGAGGGGCTTGGATATGGGGGTCCTACTGTACTCAGAAGTTCACTTCAATTTCTCAAGGACTTGGGACAGAGCAGCACTCTTCCCTTGGTTCTTATGTTCAGATGTGACTACAGTGCTGCGTGCGCACGTACACACACATAAGTATTTATAAAAGTTAAGGCTTCCAGCAATGGAGAAAAAAAGAACAAAAAAACCACACACCCACCATTGAGAAAGAGACCCAAAAGAGGAGAACTAGCCCCTCAAAAGGTTTGTACTGTATTTCCAGTTCTGTGGATTACAGTGCTTCTTAATTGCTTGGGTACAGATCTTTGTATTCTTGTCACAGACATTAAATTGTCTTGGTTGGATATCCACACATTTCCCTGATTTGCTCCAATTTAAAACAAAAGTAAAAAGTGCTGCTATCCCATAGTGCCTAAGGAAGACTTAATTTAATTATGCAGGCTACACATTGCCTCCCTCCCAACAAGCTGGATACTCAACTTGCCAGCCTCAGAAGGGTGGAATTCAGAGTCGACCTCAAGCTGACTATCTGAGCCTGTCGAGATCAAATTCAGGTCATGAGCAGAGTCTTGACTGCAGTAGTGCATTTTAACCATTGCAACGTGAGGTTCTTTACATACTGATGTGCGTTCTTTGTATATGTTAGATGGCAGAAACCTAATTCTAACTGATATCTGCACCCTACAGCCTGGAGGACAGCAGCAGTAGCAGCAGTAGTAATAGTAGTAGTAGTAATAAAATAATAATAAAATTATTATTATAATTATTATTAATTGTCATTGAACGTATATAAACTGTATACACATACAATAAAATTCATTAAGAACACTCAGAGACCAGACCAAAACACACACACCCTCGTAACACTCCTAAAACACAGAACCCCGCCTAAGAGCACACAGTACCTACACTACATACAACACAACAGACCAAGTAATAGTAATACAGTCCAGCAACTCACTGCTGGTGGTTCTTAAGTTCCTTGTTAAGTTCATTTATAGCTCTAGGATAAAAACTGTTTAAAAAGATGTGTAGTCTGAATTTTAAATGCTCTGTATCTTCTGCCGGAAGGCATCAGTTCAAATAAGTTATAAGCAGGGTGGGAAGAATCTCTTAGAATATTAAATGACTTCCGCAAGCAGTGGGATGCAAAGATATTGTCCAAAGTTGGGAGCTGAAGTCCAATAATATTTTGGGCAAATATTATAGTGGCACATATCTCAGTCTTTATTTTTCTTGTGTGTTGTTGCTGTTTTTACAGTGAGCTAAGTATTGAAAACTGGATTATGCCTGCTGTTTATGCTGGTCATTTTTCCCAAGTGGTATGGCTACACCCTCCTTGGGCTCAACAAATTGAAGAAGGGACCCATCATTTTCTAGTTGGCAAAGACACCTCCACCACTACAGTAAGGTAACTATGGCCTGTGTTTCTCTACCCATGTCCAGAATGGTAAATTCATACCTTTGACTGTTCCGTATTTCCTCTTAATGATTTCCCGCACTTACTTCTTAACTTTACCCGGACTGTCTGCAATTATTATTTTGTCTTCAGAATGCACGCTATTGTGTGTTATTTAACATTTCTGTCGAGCAATCCTATGCATACTGTATTTACTCAGAAGAAAGTCCTATTTAATCTTATGAGCTTCACACTCATGTAAGTGTTTCAGATCAGGAGCACAATCCATGTTGTGTTAAATTTTCTTCCATGAGCCAATGGTAGGTTTGTTCAAAAATGTGTTTCTCCAGCTTTGTTGTGATTTGCATGAAAGCAGTTCCAATAGTAGTATAAGATTAATTAGCAATTGAAAAAAATGAGGAAGCTGAGCAAATAGAATGACACACAAATGAGAATTTAGAAGCCGTGGTGTTTAAAGAAAGGGTTAGAAAAATAAAGTCATCTTTCACCTGATGTGAAAAGCAGGACAAGGCAGATCTTGGTGCTGTCAGATCTGCTTTGATGTTTTTTTCTAGGACCTACGGGCCAACCAGCCAAACCAAGATACAAAAGATACACACTTAGATGCCATACTGGTTATGTCTATGGGCTGAGCCAACAAATTTGTTTTCAGTAGCTGAGCTGGGCTCACATTCCTTTCAAATACAGTATCATTTTGTCTTGCACCATCTTTCCTTACTTTAGCAGGCTAAATTTAAATGAGAGAAGTTATTTTATTGTTGTTGTGGAATGACTGGGAGAGGGAAACTGATGCCTATCTACTTTATATCTCCCAAAAATCTGCATGTAGATCTTTATCTAGTGTCTGCCCCTCCCTACAGCCTGGAAGACAACAGTATGATATGCTAAATAATCATTTCTTTCGAAAATGATTCAAAGGTAAAGGTGCTCCACAGGTATCAAATACCTAGGATGTATCTACATTATTCAGCAATAACAGTTTGATACCACAGCCCTGGCTGTAACATAAAGATTTTTGGATGTGTAGTTTGATGTGGGACTAAGAGGTCTCTGCTTGGCAGCTGTAGAGCACTCCCCCAAAGTCCAGTGCTAGTGCTTTCCAGCTCAGCATCCAAAGTCTCTCACCAGACGACTAATCCCATGATTCTGTACAATGGAGCCGTCATATAGTGGTACCAAACTTCTAGACTTCATGTAATATGTATATAGCTCTCTTCATCTCTCTGAGCAGACACAGCCAAAACAATACCTCAGATGACCAGGCAAGTTTCCATGAGAGGACAAACCATGGAGTTCTAGGAGGAGGACACAGAAGAAGCGAGGGCTGATTTAAAAGCCCCCGGGGAGGTGTCCTTTTGTGCCTGTAAAATCGAGAATCCGGCGCTGCCTCCTGGGAGAAGGGAGTTCTCCCATTCACTGCCTTTTTATCCAAGCAAGCTATTTAGTCGGAGGTGGTAGAACTACAGTATTATTGAATAGCAGCCATGATACATTGGTTGCAAAAAGAGCCTCGTGGCGCCGTGGTCAAACTGCTCTACTGCAGCCAAAACTGTGCTCACGACCTGGGATTCAGTCCCAGGTAGCCGGCTCAAGGTTGACTCAGCCTTCTATCTTTCTGAGGTCAGTAAAATGAGTACCCAGCTTGCTGGGGGGGGCAATGTGTAGCCTGCATAATTAACTTGTAAACCGCCCCGAGAGTGCTTGAAGCACTATGGGGCGGTATATAAGCAGCACACTTTGCTTTAAAAAAATGGCAGGGGGGGACAGTTAATAGTCTGTGTGAGAGAGCATAGAATTTTCTCCTCGGCTGTGACCATAGAGTGACTAAAGCCACTGTGGGATGCTTGAATGTGCCTCAGGAATATTAAGGAGAAATATTATTATTCCAGGGTCACAAGCACAGATAATTACTTCCTTTCCGACGGTCTCTATGTCTCGGCTGATCAGCTAGAGAATGAGAAGTCTCTCCATCTGAGCGTCTGCCTCGTGAATCCCTCCAAAGCATCCAGCGACTGGGAGGAAGAAAGCCAAGCTCTGCCTTGTGCTAAGAAACTCAAGTTAAGTGAGGTCAACACAGCTGGTGCTTCAATCGCCTCTTCATCGAAGGATACTGGTGTCGCCCTCACCCACAAGGACACAGAGACACAGGCAGAAGGCTTAGGAGAGGGGCTCTTTGCACATGAGCGAACTGCCGGCTTGCAGGGTCCTACCGCATCTTGCTCTTTTGGGAATCACACCTGCCAAACAACAGAACTTGTTAGACACATTCTTCAAGTGTTGGAAAAGGCCAGCGCTTACGTGTTAGACATTGACTTGGATTTCTTTTCAGTGAAGAATCCTTTCAAAGAAATATACAGTCAGGTAAGTATCATGTTTCTTTTCGTTCGTAATCTGGTAAATCAGCGTTGGGGGAAGAGACAGATTGATCATGTCAAAGGAAGCTTCCCCGTTAGTCTTCAAGTTTTAAATTATTTTCAACCTTCATGCATCAGAACAGAATATTTTAGATCTTCACACCTCATTTCATTGGAGAATCTACATACAACTAGACCTATGATAAGGACATTCTGGCTGAAATCCTGTTGTACAATAAGCGTAACTTTTAGAGTTGAATAGCCGCAAGTTAAGAAATCTCTTTAAATATTATCTGTTGCATACCAACACGCATGACTCAAATAATTTATTATGTTTTTTTTTAAAAAAAATACTTATTATACCCTGTCTTTCTCCTCAAGATGACCCAAGGTAACATAATATCTGCAATATCTATGGAAATTTCTTTATTTACAGCAGTTCATCTGTCATTTGTATAACTGCACAACAGGATTTCAGCCACTGTGTCCTTGTCACTATGATGTGGAGAACTGTAGAAAATGTTTATGGTTTCATCTGTCTGGCGTGTACATTTCTTTCAAAAGCAGGAACGATGGGCAAAACAAAAGACACCAAAAAAAGTAAGCTGCACTTTGCCATTCACATCCCTTTTTAAATAATAACTAACTTAGAACTGGGGGATCTGGCGTTGCGGGTTGAACAACAGAAGCCTCTGTGCTGCAAGGTCAGAAGACCAGCAGTCGTAAGATCAAATCCACGTGACAGCGTGAGCTCCCGTCGCTTGTCCCAGCTCCTGCCAATCTAGCAGTTCGAAAGCATGTAAATGCAAGTACAGTGGTGCCTCACTTGACTACGATAATGCATTCCAGCAAAATCGCTGTTAAGTGAAATCGTCGTCAAGCGAAAGTAAAAAACCCATTGGAATGCATTGAAAACTGGTCAGTGCGTTCGAATGGGGGAAATACTGGCTTGTTTTGCAAAGATCACCCATAGAGACCCGCCGATCAGCTGTTCTAATTCGCTGCAATGCGAAGCTTCTGTCTGGAAAACACCCATTTTGCGAAGGGAAGCCATTTTACAAAGCCAGGAAAATCATCGTCAAGTGACAAAAAAACGGTTCCCGAAGCAGGGATCAAATCGACGTCAAGCCAAAAAACCCCGTAGAAACATCATTTTGTAATCGCTATAGCGATCGCGAAAAAGTCATCATACAGCGATTTCTTTGTCAAGCAGGGTCATCGTCAAGCGGGGCACCACTGTAGATAAATAGGTACCACCACGGTGGGAAATTAGCAGTGTTCTGTGTCTAATCACACTGGCCACATGACCATGGAAACTGTCTACGAACGCTGGCTCTACGGCTTGGTGACGGTGATGAGCACCATGCCCTAGAGTCAGACACGACTGGACTAAATGTCAAGGGGAACCTTTACCTTTTATCTTAGAACTACAGAGCTGGAAAGCACCCTATGGATCACTGAATCCAGCTCCTATCAAGGAGCCACAGTGGAGAATCAAACTCCCAGCTAATGGCTCCTCAGCCAGATACCTAAAACACTGAGCTATCCAGCAATAGATTTTTAAGGTACTCTAACAAATGGGACAAAAAAGATTCCCATGCCCTTTTCTTTGGGCACATGATGCAAAAAAAGCAGAATTGATGTGCTGTTGTTGTATATTTGGTTTACTTGAGAGCAAGAATAGGATTGGAATTCTCACTGCACTCATGGAACAAAATAATTGCATATGAGCAAGAATTGGCTGTCTACAAGCCTAATCCTACTTGTTGCCATTCTCATTCAGATTTAAAAAACCAAACAAACAAGAACGCATAACTCACTAAGGACTGTATTTTCCCCTCAATGCATGAAGCTGAATACATGTACATAGAAACATCTTGGATGCCATCTTTCTTCCTCATGTATAAGAAGGAATGTTATTCTCAGAAACTGACTGTACAAAGAGGCAAGCCTCACTCATGTAAGGCATGTAACACCAATTAGAACAAAACAGAGCCGAGCAAATTAAACAATGTGGTATACAACTGGTAAAGCAAATGACATTTTGAAATTTCAGTTGAAATAGTACAGCTGGCTTTTCTTTTTGGGGGGAAATAAGAGTCCCCATGTTTAAAATACAAATTACCTCCAGTTCTTTAAAAATGTATAGCCTAGCTCTTTCTGTTCTTAAGTGTTGGTTTCTTCACATGCCAGCACCTGTACTAATACTGGCTAAAGTTGGTGGCAATTACATTCTGGGGCCACTGGCTCCGGAGGCCGCCAGTTTTGGGAAGACTTAAGAAATTCCCATTGGGCAAGCGAGCTGTTTCCTTGACAATCTACTGAGCAAATTAAGGCAAAAATCACATAGAAATTGATGTAGCTGAATATTTTTTTTCAGTTGAACCCTCTACTGCCTATTTAACTTGTGAAAATGCTTAAGCAAGAGATGAAACTTTGTATGCATAGTGTGTAAAGAAGTATCTCTTGAGCACGATTTCTTTTATGCATCTCTTGATCTTTCCATTAAAAGCAGTTCCCCCATCTTTTGATGCAGTGCTCCCCAACCTTGGGTTCTACATATGTTCTTGGACTGCGACTCTCAGAAGCCCTTGCCAGCACAGCTAATTGTAAAAGCTTCTGGGTGTTGCAGTCCAAGAATAGATTCAAGGTTGGGAACCATTGTTCTGATGCATGGTGAACAGTTCTTAATCAGCAAGGAGGGGAGGAACATAGCATTGGTCCACTGTCAGGACACAGGAGCTGCTCATATATATGTGCATGTTTGAACTCTGGCTCCTTTTGAAACTTATTGCATCTTCCAAAAACCACCCATACCCACCTGTTTGGCAAGTCAATGCACAGAGTCCTTGAACATAGCTACCTATATGTGTGTGAGACATCAATCCAGCACTGCCATTAAAGGAGGACAAGTAGAGCATCTTGGCATCTGGACACAGGAGCTGCTCATATATATGTGCATGTTTGAACTCTGGCTCCTTTTGAAACTTATTGCATCTTCCAAAAACCACCCATACCCACCTGTTTGGCAAGTCAATGCACAGAGTCCTTGAACATAGCTACCTATATGTGTGTGAGACATCAATCCAGCACTGCCATTAAAGGAGGACAAGTAGAGCATCTTGGCATCTTCCCTTCCCGCAGTAAAGTAACTGGCTGCGATTGGAAGTTTCCATTTGTTTCCTGCCTCTCTTCAGCCCCCATGGTTAGCACAGCATGGAACTGTAACTCCAGCATGGAACTGCAACTTCCATCAGTCCTAGCCAGCTTAATATATACTGAAGGGTCATGGGAGTTGCAGTCCAGCATCTGGCTTATCTTTTGTGTGGCAGTTTTGCTGGCAAAGGCTCTAAACATTGGTTGCCATGTGGAATGAGTGTGCTTCTGGCTTTGACTACTGCAGGAGCATACTTGAATCCTGCTCTCATCCTAGGTGCTGTGGTAGCAGGATATGATATACGGCAGCCCTACAATTTGTAATTCTGTAATACAAGAAACTGAAATAGTTAAAAAGTTAGTATGCCATCAGTCGAAATGGGGACTGCAGCCAAGAAATCAGAAGAAAACTGGGAAACTTCCAGAAAAGTTCATCAAGAGTATGGATGTGTCACTGGAGACCAAGACCAAGAGCACGCACGCTCTTGTATTCTCGATCACCATGTATGGGTGTGAAAGCTGGATAGTTAAGGAAGCTGACAGGAACAAAAATGACTTGTTTAAAATGTGCTAAACGAGAGCTTTGCGGATACTCTGGACTGCCAGAAAGACAAACAAGTGGGTCCTAGATCAAATCAATCCAGAGCTAATTTCTGGAGGAAAAAATGTTGAAACTGAGGCTGGCTTACTTTGGGCACATCATGAGAAGGCAGGATTCCCTGGAAAAGATTGTAATGCTGGGAAAGGTGGAAGCCAGCAGGAAAAGAGGATCAAATTAGAGATGTATCAACTCCCTAAAGGAATCCACAAGCTTGAGTTTACAAGAGCTGAGCAGAGCTGTTGAGGACAGGGCATTTGGGAGGTCTCCCTCATTCATAGAGTCACCAAAAGTCAGAGGGAACTTGACAACACGTAAGAATAACAACGTAGCCTATCTCAATACTGTTCTTTCATGCTGTGCTTGACAGTGCAAGAGAGAGGGACTTTTCTGGTTCCTAAACATTCAAGATAGTTTTTAGGGAGTGTTCTTTTATGGAGGGCTTTCATATGTCAATGTGTGTCTGTGAGAATTCCAGAAATGTACACCATTTATTCCGAGATAGTATTGAACCACAGCTCCCATCAGCCCTTGCTACTGGCTCTGCTGGCTAAGGCTGATGGAAATTGTAGTCCAACTTCATTTGGAAGGCCACACACTTCCCAAATTTCTCACCTCTTCTCCCTTCCCCCTTTTGCACTGAAATTTGCTTGTATACAACAGAAATGGAGGCTTCTTAGGAGCTCTTACTCATTTGTGGTCACATGTCTGAATTTCCATATATAGAAAAGTTTATGACTTTGTACTGGAAAAGAAAAAGCAAAGCTACTTTGACAGTCAAAGGCACATTATTGTAAGCATTGAATAATTTTTCTTCTTTTCCTTCATCTAAATTAGGAAGAATACAAGATTTTGAAAGAATTATACAGTTTTAAGAAACCTAACAGCACTTCATCAGAGGTATGCATGCTAGATAACAAAGGAGTGGGGCAATTAATTTTATTTTCCTTAGAAAGTTTTAAGACAGAGTATGAGGGAGAGAAGGGATTGTGGAGGAGACCGTGAGAAAGATTTAAACTACTTTGTGGTTATGCTAGGCTGATTACCCTGCAATTAGTCCTTAGAAATTGTTTTGTCACAGAACATGTTTATGTGGTTTGTATGAAAGTTTACTGGAAGTATGAATTTAACTTGTGCCAAGTAAAAACCTGCAGAGTTGTGTTTTTGGACTGGAGGAATTTTGGGAGTTGTTATCCAAAACACACCTACACGTGGCTTGTGCCAAGGAAAAGATTTAAATGCTATGGTGAAAATAAAGCAAAATGCAGTTTAAAAAAAAAAATTAATGGTCATATCCATCGTCTTTATTAAATGCTTTTAGCTCTGTGACATTTTTCTTATAATGTCTTATAATGTGTTCTGAACTGCTGAAATGAGCTCACTTTAAATGCCATCCCAAAAATGAGCAAAGTAGTCAGTGCCCTTTCTTTCCGCCCCATGGTTAGTGACTGCTGATTAGATTTGTCAAAGCTGATTGGATGGGATTTTCAGATATTTTTTTTAACTACATGCCCCATAATTCTCCATTCTGAGAGTTGCATCTGACAGACATTTTACAGACACCCAAACATGGCTCATCTGGGAGAAGGGCCTTCCTGAAACAGGAGCTAGGCCTCCCAGGTGAGTCACACTGAGGTGCCCAGAAGTCTCATCTTTAATATCCGTTATGGAATTCTTGTAGATGGCAGTGTTCTGCACATCGCACAGTGTTATGCATTAATTTTAGACAAGATCAGTGGGAGGAATCCAGAGAAGAAACCAGTTGCCTCCACTGCCTTTGCAGTCTGTGGGATTGCAGAGATTAAATATGTGTTAAACTGCCTTGGTTTTCAGTTAAAATTTCTCATAAATTTCTCTAGTCTGCAGCCCCTATACTGAACTATTGGTAAGTGTGGAGGTGAGCTGGGATAGCACTCACACTCAGCCTCCTTGGGCAGATTCGAGGGTCCTCAGTGCCCTTGGGAAGAGGTTACTGTCCTAGTTTCTGTACAGTAACATTCCCTTCACCCCACCTAGCTCTCGTCAGGATTCTGGTGCCATTTAGGTTCTGTTATCAGGACACTGTAGAAGGAGATGGACACCAGAGGGATCCCACAGGCTAGCATTTGGTTCAGTCTTGGTCCAGGTCCTAGATCCATGCTTCCAACTTGTTGACAGGAGGATTGAATCCGGCAGGTGAAATGTTCAGACAACCTTGGAAACCACCAGGTAGCTCCCAATCCATGAATACATGTTAATTTACCCATGAATTGCATATTATTAGAATTCAGTGAATTGTTGCTTGGGCTTGTTTCTGCTTTTCTGCATCAAGGAGGAGTTGACTGACTGCGTTGAGAATCGCATCCATCAGCTGGAAGATCTAGAGGCTGCTTTTGCCGATCTGTGTGATGATGACACTGAAGAGAACCTGGAAAGATGGGCTTCCAATCCTGGGTAACAATGCTTGAATGCTTGAATCTGGAGCTGTTACAAAAGAGGCATTTGAACTCATGTCCGACTCTTCGTGACCCCATGGACCAGAGCACGCCAGGCCCTCCTGTCTTCCACTGCCTCCCAGAGTTGGGTCAAATTCATGTTGGTAGCTTCGGTGACACTGTCCAACCATCTCTTCCTCTGACATCCCCTTCTCCTCTTGCCTTTACACTTTCCTAACATCAGGATCTTTTCCAGGGAGTCTTCTGATGAGATGGCTAAAGTATTGCAGCCTCAGCTTCAGGATCTGTCCTTCTATTGAGCACTCAGGGTTGATTTCCTTCAGAATGGATAGGTTTGTTCTTGCAGTCCAGGGGACTCCCAAGAGTCTCCTCCAGCACCACAATTCAGAAGCATCAATTCTTTGTCGTTCAGCCTTCTGTATGGTCCCACTCTCACTTCCATACGTCGTTACTGGAAAAACCATAAGTTTGATTATGCAGACCTTTGTCGGCCAGGTGAGGTCTCTGCTTTTTAAGATGCTATCTAGGTTTGTCATCACTTCCCTCCCAAGAAGCAGGCATCTTTTAATTTCATACTTGCTGTCAGCATCTGCAGTGATCATGAAGCCCAAGAAAGTAAAATCTGCCACTGCCTCCATAGCTTCCCCTTCTGTTTGCCATGAGGTGATGGGACCAGTGGCCATGATCTTAGTTTTTTTTTATGTTGAGCTTCAGACCATTTTTGGCCCTCTCCTATTTCACCCTCATTAAGTGGTTCTTTAAGTCCTCACTTTCTGCCATCAGAGTGGTGTCATCTGCATATCTGGGGTTATTGATATTTCTTCCGGCAGTCGAGTTCATTAAATCTGAATTTGGTATTGGTCACCTGGAGATGTCCATGGGTAGAGTCGCCTCTTGTGTTGTTGGAAAAGAGTGTTTGTGATGACCAGCTTGTTCTCTTGACAAAACTCTGTTAGCCTTTGCCCTGCTTCATTTTGAACTCCAAGGCCAAATTTACCTGTTGCTCCTTTTATCTCTTGACTCCCTACTTTAGCATTCCAATCCCCTATAATGGAAAGAACATCTTTCTTTGGTGTCAGTTCTAGAAGGTGTTGTAAATCTTCATAGAATTGGACAATTTCAGCCTCTTCAGCATCAGTGGTTGGTGCATAAACTTGGATTACTGTGATGTTGAAAGGGCTGCCTTGGATTCGTATTGAAATCATTCTCTTATTTTTGAGATTGTATCCCAACACATCTTTTCCCACTCTTTTGTTGACTATGAGGGCTACTACATTTCTTCTATGGGATTCTTGCCCACAATAGTAAATATGACAATCACCTGAATTGAATTCACCCATTCCTGTCCGTTTTAGTTCACTGACACCCAGGATGTCAATGTTTATTCTTGCCATCTCCTGTTTGACCACACCCAACTTACCAAGGTTCATAGATTTTACACTCCATGTTCCTATGCAGTATTTTTCTTTGCAGCATCAGACTTTCCTTTCACTTCCAGGCATGTCCATAGCTGAGAGTCCTTTCGGCTTTGGCCCAGCCACTTCTGTAGCTCTGGAGCTGCTTGTACTTGTCCTCTGCTCTTCCTCAGTAGCATGTTGGACGCCTTCTGACCTGAGGGGCTCATCTTCCAGTGTCATAACTTTTAGCCTTTTTTTTCTGTCCATGGAGTTTTATTGGCAGAGGTACTGGAGTGGCTTGCCAGTTCCTGCTCCAGGTGGATCATGTTTAGTCAGAACTCTCCACTATGACTTGTCCATCTTGGGTGTCCCTGCACAGCATAGCCCATAGCTTCTAAGCCCCTTCGCCATGACAAGGCAGCAATCCGTGAAGGGGACCTTATTGGTAGCGTACAGCAGAGACAAAGTTATAATTCTAGGGCTGCAATTCCCAGAATTTTGCAAGCAGTATGGCCTTTGCCTTTGCTGAACTTGGATTTTGGATGTTGTAGTCTAATAAATCACAGCAAGAATTTTAGTGCCATTTACACATTCAGCAGCCGTAGCAATTGTGTACATCAGACATCCCTCATAGCTGGAACTCCTTTTATGTCACAACACATCCTTTTCCAGTACCATTTGACTTCATTTCAAGGCTGCATAGGAAGATTGTATGCACATTTGGTTTGGGAGCTGGCTCGTAATGGCAGCCCCTCCTGCCTTGGGGGGAACTTCCTTTAGGGAGCTCCTGGTCTCTTGTTGGGAGCGCATGAGGAATTCTGTTTTGCAGCAGCTGCAGATGCCTTGTGGAACTAAAAATATCTTAATAAGGCATTACAAAAGTCATCAGGTCCAGAAAGATAGATGGAGAAAAATCCAAAGGATGGGTGCTTGAAAATCCCTTTAAGAAAACAGTGATTTTACAGTGGAGGCAGTTTACACTCTCATAGCTGCTAGCAGAGTGGTTAGCAGTGATGAGAGTATATGATTTAAATCACAAGTGATTGTGATTTAAATCACAAATCCACAAGTGATTTAAATCATAATTAAATCAAACACTTTTTTGATTTGAAGTCTCAAAAGAATTCAATTTTAAAAAATGTAGATCATGATTTAAATCAATTTGAATTGAATCAAATCCACCCTGACTGTTAATCACCCTTTGGCACATTTACATCTGTGAAATAGCCCTAAGTCCCACCTCTGCACCAGCTTCAATTCAATTCTTGAGCTTGTGTGAAAGTTTTATTTGCTGGGTCCAAGCATCTAATCGTACCTGGATGTACTGGAAACGTTGTGTAATCGCGTTCTGGATTCCTAGAGGAAATACCTCTCAGTCTGCAGAACGACAAAATCCACAAGATCATACCTATTATATATCACTGGTGTTAGCCTCATTCATAGCTTTTGTACAGATTTGTTTCATTTAAAATCAATGGCTTAACTTCGTATGTGTTTGTGTGTTTTAATCACAGGATGAAACCTCTAGTTCAGCTTGTGCATAGTTTGAAAAATCGACTGGGGACCCCAGATTATGAGATGGTAAATCTTATTTATTATGTAGCTTCTATGAGTTGCCTTTTTGCGGACTGATACTTGAAGCCTCAGTTTTTGCTGGGCTTAGATATCCCAAGGAACCATGATTTATCATGATGGAAACAAACTGCCATCCATCCCTCTTTTCTGTCTAGTGCAACCCTAAATAAATGGAATTTTTTGTTTCCTTTTTCAGTTAACTACAGTTTAGTATACCATCTAAAACCCACACAGCGGTCATTCTTTCATTCTTTTGAAGCAAACTTGTTTGTACTTAATTTGTTTCAGACAAACCGTAGTTGGGGGGATAGAAATGATGGTTAATATTAACCAGAGTTTGCTGAGTTCAGGCAAAATGTCAATCCTGCCATTAATAAAAATTGAAAGCAAAAGCTTTGAAGCTCTTCTTGCAGTTCATCAGAAGAAGAAGGAGGACTTTGGATGGGTTTTGGTGGGGCCTCCATATAATGTCTGTATTTGGGCATCATGGTAGACTACGATTTACTGTAGCAGGAATTATAGTCTGTAATTATGTCCAAATACGGTCATTATATCTAAGCACATCAACTTCATTCAGAGATCTGGTACTGGCAATTTTGTATGCTGAGTCTAAAGTTGTAATTGAGCTATTAGGTGTCAAGAGTAGATTAACACTCTGTAGTCTTAATGATGTATTTTCCTCTCCTTTCTTTGTTTTTACTAAGGTTTCTTTACTTCTGTGATCAAAAGTACTGATTAATTGTTTTGTAATTGTTCGTTTTTTCAGGTCCATCAGGCTGGCCTTACATGTGATTACTCAGAAATTCCCCACCATGTTAGCACTGAGCAAGAGATTGAAAGTCTTGTACACTCTGTGAAACATCTCTTGAAGAATTTGCCAAAGCCAACCCTGGTGACCATTGCCCGGTAAGCTTGAGTGGTTCCTCCTATGCAGCATAGTTAAGCTAAACAGCTGCAGTGCCACAAGCCAGGTTGAGCCCTTTTTCATTGACACACAGCTGGAGGATGAGAATCTCTTTGACCCCCAGTAATACAATCTTGTACTTGTCTGCCCAGAAATAAGTCCCACAGCATTCAGTGGCTGGACTCATACCTGCACTTGCAGACCAGGAACACAGCATCTATAATGGCCCAGAGTTAGGCAGGGGTGAGTCCTAGTCCTAAGTAATTCCTCAGCTCCCTAGCCTGGAAGAGATCTAGACGTAGGAGAGCTTCTGGTGGTTCTTTTAGGATTGTAGATCTTGTTTGCTAGGAGGGCAGGGAATGTTTGCGTGAAATAACAGGACTGATTCTCTGTAAAGATTATACCTTGGATAAACTTGCAGTAGATTTAAAGAGTTGTCTATTTATTTGCAGGTCTAGCTTGGATGATTACTGTCCCGCAGACCAAGTTGAGTTCATACAGGAGAAAGTTTTAGATCTGCTGAGTTCGGCATATGGCACACTGGACATTCATCTAGAATACTCGAAAAATTCATGTCCCACTGGGACAGCTTATTCCCCCACGGCATGAGCTATCAGATTGCTATCATGGGAAAAATATGGATATGATGAAACTTCTTTTTCTCTTGTCCGTTGTTACCCCCCTGTCACGTCAGTTTTGACTCACAGCATTAATTAATTAATGATCTTCAAAAGTTCCTAATGTTCATAGGCTCAGGTCTTGGAAATTTAAAGCTGTGTCTCCCTTTCTTGAGCCAATCTCTCTCATGTTAGTTCTTTCTACATGGAATGGCATCCTTGCAAAAGCAAGGACTATTTCTGAGGATGGGCTGTGTTTCAGATACCCATTGTCCTCACTTTTTCATTGTGCTTTCCCCCTTTTTTTAGTAATTGTGCCAAAACATTTTAAAGGGGTGCAAAAGACACAATGCAGAAATAGAAGTACTGTAGTAATGATATATGTAAAAAATTCAACCAGATTTTTTTGCTCCTTTTGTTATTTACACTTAGTAAAGGTAAATCAACCAATTTGTGGCTTATGTTTATTTTTTAAAGGGGAAAACTGATTTGGAAATAGTGCTTCCTGTATTTTTGCAGACAAGAGCCAGGCAAGAGTAGGAAGAAGAGATCACTAGTTTACCGTCTTACGTTGAAATTATTTCTCCAGATTTAGCTGGAATTCCTGATTAAAGTTTTCTGTTTTGTTTTCAAGCAGTGGCCATCCCGGCTATGTCCGTTTCTTATGTTTGTTAAAATAACTTGGGTGCTTTGTGATTTTTCTTTCCACTTTCTCCAGAGAGGAGAATCCACATAGTTTTCATGGAATTCTCCCACTAAATTCTCAGAACCACCAATCTGCGATGTAGATTTGGCAGAATGGCGACTTACCTGAGGTGATAAAGTTATACAGGAATTGAATGGAACGTATGAGGCAGGAGTAGAAATCGCACAGGCCAATGATTTTGTTTGGCCTCCACAGAATCCCATCTCCAAAATATTTTTGATGAAAAAAACAAAACAGAATTAGGCCTTCGTCAACCTCCAGAGGACACAGTTCTTGTCCAAAACAAGGCCTTCTCTCTATACCCTTTTTTTCCACAAGAAAGACCTCAACCCACATTTTCAAACGCAGAAGAAAGTTCTGTGGGAGAAGATGGTGCAGACTGCAGTGGGTCCAGGAGTAATGGCATCCTGGAGCCTTTCAGGTTACCCAGATGTAACATAAAGGTTCCACTTTTCTCTCTCTCTCTCTCTTTCACCTAAAGCAGAAAGGAACTCCTGATCAGTTCAGTGCAAAAATGTTATGGTATAACCTTGTTGCAAGAGTGGATTGTTGGTCAAAGATTGCAAGTAGCTGCGTTTAGCACCATCTTTCTTATTTTTATGAATAAGGTGTACCGTTTTTCTGAACTAAATGGTAGAAATAGGCAAAAGCCCCCCCCCCTCTCTTTTGTTTAAAGTTGATACTCCTGTGCTTTTTATGATTTAAAAAAAAAAAACAGTAGGGAAAGCTTCATGCAGATACTGAAAAAACATCCTGTGCTAATAGTTTGCATCCGGCTGCTGTGGAAAAAAAAGCACAAAACCAAAGTTGGTTTCATGATAAGCCTGCAATACCTCTGGATATTTCTTCTGAGGTGTTTGTTTTTGCGAGTGAAAGATTGTCTTGGTATTTGAGGCCTTGACTGTCATCCTCAAGTTTTAGATCAAGGACTGGGAAGCTATCCCAGATAGGCAGCAGCTGTGGTTTTACACAAATGAAGATGGTCTTTGCCAACTGTGGTACTCTAGATCAGTGGTTCTTAACCTTTGTTACTCGGATGCTTTTGAACTGCAACTCCCAGAATCCCCAGTCAGGACAGCTGTTGGTGAAGGCTTCTGGGAGTTGCAGTCCAAAACTCCTGAGTAACCCAAGGTTAAGAATCAGTGCTCTAGAGCAGTGGTCCCCAACCTTGGGCCTCCAGATGTTCTTAGACTACAACTCCCAGAAGCCTTCACCACCACCTCTGCTGGCCAGGATTTCTGGGAATTGAAGTCCAAGGACACCTGGAAGCCCAAGGTTGGGGGCTACTGCTCTAGAGCAGTGGTCCCCAACCTGTTTTGGACTGCAGACCGGCTGAGCCTCCAAGGAAGGCAGGGGGCCCACGCAGGTGCATGCGTGAAGCGGTGGGGGAGCACCTGCCTGCCAGCACCAGTGTGATCGCTCCCCCACCCCTTCATGCACGCGCAGGGGTGCCTGCACGCCCAACACCGCACCCACCCACCCCTTTGCGCAGGCACTTGGGCGTATGCGCGAAGGGATGGGGGAGCGCCCGGCTGGCCAGCAGCGTGAGTGCTCCCCCACTCCTTCACACGGGCACTCCGGCACATGCGTGAAGGGGTGGGGGAATGCTCACGCCAGTGGGGGCACACACACAAAGATGCTGTGGGGAGGGGAGTGCATGCAGGGGGGGCGGGAGGTCTGTCTTCACGGCCCGGTCCATCTCAGGCCATGGACCAGCACTGGACCGCGAACCGGAGGTTGACAACCTCTGTTCTAGAGGATTCAGGGCATGTCATCTCAGGTTACACCAAAGAAAGGTAACGTGTGTTGGGTCTGGAAGATAGTTTTGTCCCTTGGAGTACCTGACCTGGACTGCCGCCCAAACTGCCACTGAAATTCGGTGGCCAATTCCACCACCAGACTGTCAACAATGGGGTAAAAATGCTCTTGAAGTGTCCCTGCTTGCTTTAAATGTGTGGTAAAGGTTTGCTGTCAACATTGGAGGAAATCAGCATCAGCCAGAGAAAGCTAGCATTTAACTGGGAATTCTGTTTTGCAGCTCAACGATTTGCCAGTAAATTATTTATTTATTTATTTATTTAATTTATATGCCACTCACACTACCCAGAGATGAATGGCTACAAGGCATTGAAGCAAGCAATGTATTTCTATTCTAATGGTTTCTTGGGTACCCAGTGTATAAGGAGACCCAGGTACAAATCCCTGCTCGGTCATGGAAGCTCACTGGGGGTGTGGAACTGGTAGAACCACTCCTTCAGTGTCTCACCTTGAAAGCCCTATTAGGGTTATTATAAGTTGATGGCACACAATTAACAAAGAGTTTCTTGAGTGGGGGGCACCCATCAGCCATGTGGTTCACACTTCCCAGAAAAACTGCACCATTCTTTTAAAGACAGGAGAGTACTGCTTGGAAAAGTTTTGTTTTTTGAATGAGAAGGCTGAACTATGCAACCTGCTTGGGCACCTTAGGCTTTGGCAGAAGGATTCTAGGGCCTATGGACCCAAAAAGTTACTTTTCTGAACAGTGGCTTTGCTGTAGCCACTAGGTGAGTTTATCTAGGCCATAAATGGAGGAGTTCCAAGTTTCTATTCTTAGCCACCATGTTACACCAGGTCTTCCAAAATGCATCTGAAACAAAAGTCAGTAAGACATATGTTGGCATCTGCTTGTGTCAAGAGTACAGTAGTTCTTTTTGCTGTTGTTCTGCCTGCAGTCTGTGTTTCCTAAGTCTGCTTCATAGGATCCCCAACTCTGGAGAAGATTGTAGGGAAACCAGACTGAGAGGAAGTTTGTCCCGCCAGCTGTTTCCATTCTGCAAAGGGGAGGCAGGACTAGAATTTACACAGATAGGAAAATCCCCATACAAAAACAATGATGAAACTATTACTGCAATCCTTTATTTGTTCAGTAGGTGGAGCGCTTTACACAAAGTGTACAGTACAGTATTGTTTGCCTCCTTTCTTTAAAAAGTTTAATTTCTCTTTGCCCACTGTTCTGATCTAAAGTAGATTTGTAAGAGCTGTGGCTATAATGAGAAAGGTTATAATTTTGTCCTGTTCTACACTTCATGCATTCTCAGATAGTTCAATGCATCACACTGAAATAAACAGAAGATAGCGAGTATAGTGAAATAGATTGAGTAGCAGACGAGGATCCAGGAGACTCAGGTCTGAATCTCTGCTCAGTCATGGAAAATCTCTGGAGGAGTGGAACTGATAAAATCATTCTTTAAATATCTTTTTTACACACACACTCACACTCTCTCTCTCTCACGCACGCAATCACACACAAAGTTCCAAAAAATCATTCTTTAAAAATCTTACACACACACACACACACACACACACTCTGCTATATAGTGGTCTGCCAATTTTTTATTTAACCTACAAAAAAGCGGAGGGTTTTCAAGAATCTGGCTCTATATGGCTGGTAGGTGATCTATGGTTTGTTGGGTGAGAATTTGTAGCTCAGAAACCCTTTGGGGTCCAGTTGCTCCCCAAGTTTTCTGGCCAAGATTATAACTACAGTGCAACATTGATAGGAGTTCCTGCTACTCCCTCCTACCCAAGTTTTTGTAACCAGATGCTTTGGCAAGGGGTTTCCTTGACTAACAGTTCCAACCTCTTTTTGCTACCCCTAATTTTATTCAGGAATAAAATTTTGAATTAGTGGTGTATCCCTCCATTACCCCCTTGGCACCTCCAGTGTTCTTCAAGGACTGGAAGGCTGTTTTCCTTAACTGTCACTTGTGTCTTACTGTGGTGCTGGGAGGTGTCACTGGGAATACTCATGGCACATGGGGTGGTGCTTCCACCTCTTCAGCAGTCTTCCCTGTGGGTGTCATCAACTCATTGAAGAGGCCTATTCAGATAATGCCATGAGTTATGTTAAGTGGAGTAAACAGAAAAAGCAATATGGTAGGTGGCTTGGGTGGCTCTCTCACATTTGGGGGGGACCACCTTGGCCGCGAAGAGTGGGGTCCGCAGCCTCGGCATATATTTGGACCCGAC